TCCCTCAGATGAAACAGCTGTGGTAATTACTAAGGCAACTGAAACTGATCAAATCGCCTGTGCAAAATAATGGAAATCCTGAAAACATGACCTGTTGGGGGTCCATGAGGACTGGAATTGAAAAACACTGCTTTAAACTGAACCTCTCCAAGACCGAGTTTCTTGTCTTCCCCCCAGCCCGGACACCACCCCCCATTGCCTTCTCCATCATGTCCACCATCAAACCCGCCCCGCAGGCCAGATTACTTGGTGTCATTCTGGACTCCAACCTATCCTTCCAGCCCCAAGTCCAATCTTTAATAAGCTCGTGCAGGCTCCACCTCCGCAACATCGCCAAAATACGCACGTTTCTAACCCCAGAAACCACTAAACAGCTCATCCACTCCCTCATCATATCACGACTCGATTACTGCAACTTCCTCCTTACTGGCCTGCCTCGCCGCTGGGTATCCCCGCTTCAGTCGATCATGAATACGGCAGCCAGACTCATTCACCTTTCCAACTGCTCCATCTCCACCACCCCCCTCTGCCAATCCTTCCACTGGCTTCTGATTGCGCAACGGATCAAATTCAAAATCCTAACACTGACGTATAAAGCTGTCCACCACACTGCCCTGAACTACATCACTGACCTAATATCCAAGTACCACCCAGCACGCACACTCCGCTCCTCACAAGACCTCCTTCTCTCTAGTTCCCTGGTCTCCTCCTCCCATGCCCGCCTCCAGGACTTCTCCAGGGTGTCATCCATCCTCTGGAACTCCCTGCCCCAACCCATCAGATTATCACCTACTCTCCTCTCCTTTAGTCGCACCCTGAAAACCCATCTCTTCAGGGAAGCCTACCCCACCCCCTGCCGACCTCCTCCACTCTTCCTACCACTCCATCCCCCACAGCTATCTCCTCCTGTGCCACCATCCCCTCCCTCCTAGATTGTAAGCTCGAAAGAGCAGGGCCCTCAATCCCCTCATGTTTTGCATTGTATTGTTATTGTTCTGTCACATGTTCTGTCCCCCTTTGTAATGTACAGCGCTGAGCGAACTATGGGCGCTTTATAAATACTGTATAATAATAATATCATCTGAATAAGCTGCCACCTTATGCTCTGTATCTCCTACCCATATTCCCTTTATATCTATATTGTTCCTTATTGTAGCCAATAGAGATTCCAGTGACAAAATATTTAGAAGTGGAGACAGAGGGCTTTCTTGTCTTGTTCTATTTAGCATCCCAAAATACTCTGCAGCAATCATGGTTAACGTGGAATTATCAGAGGGTTGACTATACAGCTTCCTTATCCATTCTCTCATTCTATGTCCTATCCCCAATACTTACAATGTGTCCATCATATATCCCCAATCTACTCTATCGAATGCCTATGGTACATCAATCGAGAGTACCATCGCAGCGGTTTTCTCTTTCCTGCTTTTTTTGTATGCGGATCAAAGATCTCAGTCCATTATCTCTACCCTCTCTCCCTGGAACAAAGCCCACTTGATCTATGTGTATCCATTCCGGCATTAGATCTTTCAACCTGTTTGCCAAAACTTTTGCATTTAATTTAGTATCTGTGTTCAATAAGGAAATCGGTCTATAACTTATACATAAGGAAGGTAGAGATGTTATTCATTGTTCAAGAACTACATGTGCTTGTAGGGATTCCCTCCTCATTTCCATTTCTCACCCCAATGCATTCATATATATCTTCAATTTGGGTACTAATGGTTCCTTATATTTTTTTATAATACCTCACAGTATATCCATCTGGTCCTGGACTTTTCCCAGCTGCAGTACTTTTTAGTGCTAGTTCTATTTCTTCCTGCGTTTATTGCTAATTCAAGGGATTATAATTGTTCCTCACTTATTTTCGGTAATTCTGCATTTTTTAAGTAATAACTGCCTTTTTTTCTATTTTTCCTGCTCCCTCTTTATTTGAAGAGCTAAGGGGGATAATATTATATAATTTATTATAGTATTCTTTTAACGCTTTAGCTATATCTTTAGTTGAAAACACTAATTCTCCTTTTGGGATCTCTTATTTTCTCTATAAAGTTTTTTTTAGATTTTTTTTTTTTTTCCCCTCTGAGCTCTCAAATACTTTCCTGGCCTGTCTCCCCATCTATATCTCTCAGTAATCATTTTATTAAACACTGTTCTCTTCTCTTCTTCCAGAAAATTATTTAATTCTGTTTTATTTATTACCCTCTGCATAATCTCTTTTTTGTTCTATATTTGTGTCTGCTCAATCTCAGAGTTCCCCGAGGAGCGCATTCATTTTTTCCCTTCTTTCCCTCTTCTTCTTTGCCCCAATAGCTATTAGTATTCCTCTAATATAGGCCTTATGAGCCTCCCACACCGTTGCTACAGACACTTCCCCAGTATAATTTTCCTCAAAAAATTGCTCTTTCTCTCTTAATTTTTTGGTCTGTCTCTTGATCCTGGAGGAGTATCTCATTTTAACCTCCATACTCTTCCCCCTTTCAGTTCCTTTCCCCATGCTAATTGCATTGTGACCAGGGCATGATCCGATATTGACATCACTTCTATTTTTACTTTGACCAAAGACTCAATAAGTCGATGTTCCAGCAATATATAATCCAATCTCGAGTACATCTCATGTGCATGGGAATAAAACGTATAATCACTTTCCTTCACATGCTTTATTCTCCATATATCCACAAGTTGGCATTGGAATATCACTTTTTTCAGGGATCTCATAGACCTACTTTCCTCCCTCTGCACAGGAGATGTCATGTCTATCTGAGGTTCCATACAGGAATTGAAATCTCCTACAACGATTAAACTACCTTTTTTTGAAATCCATTAATTTTTTCAGAGTATTTTTTGAAGTATATCTCCGGTTTCTTATTCGGGCAATAAATATTTGCTAATGTACAATCTATTTCTTGTAGTTTTCCCTTCAGAAACAGAAATCTCCCTTCGGGATCTACCAGTCTATCTTCTAACTTAAACTTTTATACTTTTCGCGAAGCCTATTGCCACTCCCTTGGCTCTTCTAATTGGGGAATCTGCATAGAACCATAGTGGATAATATCTAGAATTTTTAATTTCACATTTGTTTCTCGTTCCAGATGTGTCTCCTGTAAAAACAAAACAAAAAAAAAAAAACCCATTGAAGACAATCTATGTTGTATCTCTTTGAATATCCTGAATCTAATCCCAGGGCTATTTAATCAATTAACATTATAAATCACAAAGTGTATCTCTCTCCATTCTTCCCTTATTCTCCTATCCTCTCCTCCCTGTCCTCTCTTCTCTTCTCCTCTCCTGTCCATATCTTTCCCTTCGTTCTTTAGGACTTCTCCAGACTAATATATCTCCTACTATATCGCAGAGTCTTACACTACCTAACACCTCCCCGTTCCCACCCCTCCACATCTCTCCCCCTCCCTCCCCATCTCCCTTTTAGGTTTATGTTTTGCCTATGAATCATTTGTGGTCCTAACCCCACCTTTGATTCAACTTTTAAGGTGAAGCTCTGACCATGAACTTTTCACCAATACGCGTATCTCCTCCTCCGTGTCCTGCCACTCTCTAGTAAACTCAAAAATAAAGAGAGAGAGAAGCAGAAATGGAGGGAGAGAGGGAAAAAAAGTCCTCCCCCCTCTATCCCATGTTATTCCTCTTTACTATTCCTACTCTCCATTTCTCCTTGGAGCTACCTGCCTCCCCTCTTTTTCCATTGCCCACATTTCTCCTTCTTCCTCCAAACCAGGGATATTTATTTTCTGTATATCAAGTCTCTCAGATCTTCGGGGAATCTCAGTCTTGCTGAACGTCCATTTCTCCATCCAATCAAACACACTGGAAACCCCCAGCTATATCGAACATTCTGTTTTCTCATCTGTTCCAATAACGGTTTCAAAGTTCTCCTTCAAAGTTTTCCGCTGCTAAATCAGCAAAGATCTGTATATTTATTTCTCCATATTTTATTATTGCTCTCCTTTTATCTTCTTACAAAGCTCTTCTTTGTCCTGATCGTTATGGATTTGCACTATTACATCTCTTGGCTTTTCCTTTCTGTCTTCTTGTATGTATTTTCCTATTCTATAGACTCCCTCCGTTTTTGAAAGGCTCTGTTATAGTTCTATCCATTATAGTAATCAACATTCTCGTTATTTCCGTCAAATCTTCTCCTTGGGAGATCTCTGGAAGGCCTCGTATCCTTAGGTTGCATCTCCTGTCCCTATTCTCCTGGTCTTCCAATTTATAGAACAAATTTCTTTGTTCTTTTCTCATTTCCATCGTCCATTTTTCTAATTTCTGTATAATTTGGGCATGTTTATCTAGTTTTTCTTCAGTCTCTTCCACTCTTGATAATATTTGCGCCAGGTCTTTGTGTAATTTCGCCAATTCCTGTTTTAGGGATCTTTCAAGTCCTTTAAACATTTCTGCTATTTCTGCTTTAGTAGGCATCTGTGAGCTCTCCTCCTTGTTCTTCTACATTATCCATATCCACTTCCTCTTCTATATGTTGACTACCGTTCGCTATTCCCAGGGATAATCTGGAACATTCTCCGCTGTTTTCCCTCTTGCCTCTTACACTTATTCCCTGTTGTCTCTCTCGAGTCTGTTTCTCCTGTGAGGATATATATTTTTTAATTGACCCTTGGGAAGCCTTAGGCCCTCCTCCCATTGTTCTTTATTTTTCATACTGTCAGGGACTGTTTCAATTTTCCACGGTTCTGATTCTGGGGGCGGGGTCTATTTTTTTTATATCAAAATTTGTCTTCCAAGGATATCCCCCTCTCAGTTCTTTTCTTTTCTTTTCTTTTTTTCTCTTCCCCCCCCCCCCCCCCACTCGCGGACTCATCTGCCTGGATCCACTTCTTCTAGGTCTTTATCTGTTTTAAATTGTCCTCCTTCTGATTTTTCCTTTTAAGACCCCTTGGGTGAACCCCTCCTCAGTTGAAACATACAGTTCAAATCATACAGTTCAATTCCCCTGCAATATATTAATCACAGTAGTCTTGCCGCTCTCACTCACCCTCTTGTCCCCGATGCGATGAGATCTCTGATGTATGTGAATTAAAGGGCTTCTCCGTAAAACATTTCCCACACTCCGGACAGGAGTACAGCTTCTCCGTGTAAGATCTCTGATGTGTATAAATATTGGTCTCCACTGAAAAGCACTTCCCGCACTCTAGACAATCATATGGTTTTTCACCTGTTTGAGATCTCTGATATATGTAAAGACTAAAGTTATCTGAGAACATTTCCTGCACTAAGGACAGGAGTGTAGCATCTTCCCCATGTGAGGTCTCTAATATACATGCAGACTGGAGTTCTGTGAAAAACATTTCCCGCACTCCGAACAAGGGCATGGCTGCTCCTCCTTATGTCATCACAGCTATATATAAAGAGAGAACTTTCGTGAAAAACATTTCCTGCACTTGAACAGGAATACTTCTCCCCCGTGTGAGATCTCTGATTTCTGTAGAGACTGACCTTCTATGAGAGATATTTCCCGGACTTTGGACATCTTTCTTCCCTCCAAGTGAGGGGTCAGGCGGCTCCAGGTTCTCTCTTCTGGGGGATATTGCTTTCAATATTCCCCTCATATAATGGGTAGATTGAGGTATATTGCAGGGGGGTTCACCCATCTCGTTTCGATGGGTCTCTTAGCTGCCACAGTTCCGTGTGCGAGAGGAGAAGCCGGTGTCTCCCTCACTTCCTGAAACATTGGCTGGCTCCTCTAAATCCCCGAACTCCCTTGCGGCAGATCACCTGACTGCCTGACGTCCACTGAGCTCCGGGGAACACACAGTACCTGGCCAGGAGAGCAGGAAGACCCGCCGCAACGGTAGTCACTCCAGATGCCCCCGGTCCAGCTGCTCCGCTCGACGGCACTCCACCCAACTCGCGGGTCCCGCACCCCAACAGACAAGTCCCCCCTCTCCCCGGCTAGGATCTCCAGGGCTTCCCGCTCATCTCTCCCCTTCTCGGCAGGACACTGGAGGTGCTTGGGAGCCGGGAGCCCTCACATCGAGCGTCCCGCTTCAAGCCATGGTCAGGCTCCTTCCTCCTTCGGAAAATTCTGGTTAAAATACCTATTATTATGCTAGCATTGTTGTCACCATCAGCAAAGCTGCCCCTAAGAATATGAAAAATTCTCTGCATACTTGCTGTAAAAATATATACTTTTTTTTTTTTTTCTTTCTAGAATTATGGTAAGTAGATGGATAACCGCTCTTCATATTCCTGGCCCTCCTTTTGTTTCTTAACAGATTATAACTTGCAATAATAGAATGGGTGGGGCACAAATGCATTACATTCACACTAGTGCTTCTGCATAATCCTGGGTTTATGCTTGATTTTCATGTTTAACCACTTCAGCTCCAGGTTTTCACCCCCTTCATGACTGGGGCATTTCTTGGCTTTTCAGCACTGTGCTACTTTAACTAGCAGTTGCATGGACATGCAATACTATGTGCAGATGACATTTATATCTTTTGTTTCACACAAATAGAGCTTTCTTTTGGTGGTATTTCATCACCACTGGGCATAGAGTGCCAAGACAGTACAAATCCCCCCAAATGACACTCTTTTGGAAAGTAGATAGTATGAGGCATTTAGTAAGAGGCATGGCAAGTTTTTTGATGTTGTAATTTTTTTTGTCACTAATTAATTGGTTTTTTTTTTTTTTTTTTTTTTTTTTTTAAAACACACAGGTCTTTCCCCTGTCAGTTTTACTTGGCGATCGCCGGGTGTCGGTGGGGCATGGTGATTGACATCTGTAGCTGCCAATGGCGACGCCCACTCCCCCGCATAGAAATGCAAAGTGTGTGTGTGTGTGTGTGTGTGTGTGTGTGTGTGTGTGTGTGTGTGCGCGTGCACACATTATTTTTGCACAGCCCTGTCGCCCTCTAGCACTAATTCTACTATAGGGCGGCGGACAAGCGGTTAAAACAAGATAAAAGTTCATGACTGTGCGCCAGTCTGTTGAGCCTGCCAGTGAAGTATACCTAATGCGGTGGTGGCAATTCTATTGCATGACTTCTGAATTCAGTGCAGCATTGCCTCTCTCATGTAGGCTGTGTTTGCTGCACAGTAGAATGAAACAAGTTGCATGGAGTGTGACTATCAGCATTTATTACCAATTTACAATCCAATTGCTCATCAATCAGCACCTTGCCACACCTTGTCCAAAAGAAAGAAAAACAAGTGCCTCTAGAAAGCGTGCACTTTGAATGAGAAATGGTTGTTGGCTGGGTGGGTTTAACCTGCTTTAACTGTTTTTAGATTTTTGATGCAATAGAGTGACATGCCGTAGGTATGGCCTGGAGTGGCGTAAATGAGTCGGCGTACCTGTCGAGTTGTTTTTAGCTATTTGATTTAATAAAGGAACTTTACTGGTGTGCTGGTTTGTATTTATAGTGACATGCCGTGGAAGCCCTGGATTTTCTGTATCTGGACTGAGTAAAATAAGCAGTTTATTTGCTAGGAGCACAGAAACCCTCTACTTCACAGAAATGGTGTGGGATCTCTAGGGGTAACCTCTTCTATACCCACGTCTGCACTCCCTCCAGAAACAAGATTTTGTTGGATGCTGCTAAAGACATTTAGTGGTAGGAAGATTACCGTATTTTTCGCTCCATAAGACGCACTTTTTTCCCCCCAAAAAAGGGGGGAAATGTCAGTGCGTCTTATGGAGCGAATATGGAGTGGCCGGTCCGGTATTTCCACCGCCGCCGTGTCAGAATACCGGGCCGGCCGCTCAGCTCTGCAGTGGGACCTTACCTGTTCCTCTATCCAGCGGCGTGCTGTCTTCCCGGCTTCTGTAGTGTGCGTGACAGCCGGGTCCCAAGTGCGCATGCGCAAGAAGCGGTGCTTTTTTGTGAATGGTAAGGCGGTACCTGGGACACATGACAGATCCCAGAAGCCGCCGGACCAATCACAAAGCGCAGCACTTCTTGCTCATGCGCACTGGGCATCCAGCTGTCCGCCGAGCGCCCACACTACAGAAGCCGGGTAGACAGCGCGCGGCTGGATAGAGGAACAGGTAAGATCAAAGAACAACTCCGGAAGTAAGAGCGGGTACCTGCCAAATTCAGGTACCCGCTCCCCCCCTCCCCAAAGGTCAGCAGTCATCTCCTGTACTGTCCACAGTCTCTGGTCATCTCCTGTACTGTCCGCAGTCTCTGGTCATCCCTGTACTGTGTCCGCAGTCTCTGGTTATCCCTGTACTGTGTCCGCAGTCTCTGGTCATCCCTGTACTGTGTCCGCAGTCTCTGGTCATCCCTGTACTGTGTCCGCAGTCTCTGGTCATCCCAGTACTGTGTCCGCAGTCTCTGGTCATCCCTGTACTGTTTCTGCAGTCTCTGGTCATCTCCTGTAGTGTCCGCAGTCTCTGGTCATCTCCTGTAGTGTCCGCAGTCTCTGGTCATCTCCTGTAGTGTCCGCAGTCTCTGGTCATCTCCTGTAGTGTCCGCAGTCTCTGGTCATCTCCTGTAGTGTCCGCAGTCTCTGGTCATCTCCTGTACTGTCCGCAGTCTCTGGTCATCTCCTGTACTGTCCGCAGTCTCTGGTCATCTCCTGTACTGTCCGCAGTCTCTGGTCATCTCCTGTACTGTCCGCAGTCTCTGGTCATCTCCTGTGCTGTCCAGTCTCTGGTCATCTCCTGTACCGTGTCTGCAGTCTCTGGTCATCTCCTGTACCGTGTCTGCAGTCTCTGGTCATCTCCTGTACCGTGTCTGCAGTCTCTGGTCATCTCCTGTACCGTGTCTGCAGTCTCTGGTCATCTCCTGTACCGTGTCTGCAGTCTCTGGTCATCTCCTGTACCGTGTCTGCAGTCTCTGGTCATCTCCTGTACCGTGTCTGCAGTCTCTGGTCATCTCCTGTACCGTGTCTGCAGTCTCTGGTCATCTCCTGTACCGTGTCTGCAGTCTCTGGTCATCTCCTGTACCGTGTCTGCAGTCTCTGGTCATCTCCTGTACCGTGTCTGCAGTCTCTGGTCATCTCCTGTACCGTGTCCGCAGTCTCTGGTCATCTCCTGTACCATGTCTGCAGTCTCTGGTCATCTCCTGTACTATGTCTGCAGTCTCTGGTCATCTCCTGTACTATGTCCGCAGACTCTGGTCATCTCCTGTACTATGTCTGCAGTCCATTAGTTCAGAATTTTTTTTCCCCTGTTTTCTGCCTCTAAAGCCTAGGTGCGTCTTATGGTCAGGTGCGTCTTATGGAGCGAAAAATACGGTACTTCAAAGAACCATTTTGCACTCCGTTAACTCAAACTCCCCATCCGTTCTACCCCAGCAGTGCCTTCTTAAAATCAGTTTACAGCAAGGAAAATACATGTAATATTTTTATTTAAAAGTAGTTTTTGGTTTACTTTTTGTGTTTTAACTTACTACATTATTCCCATACTGAAATTATGTACTATATTTGCAGATTATGTCTACTTTGAAAATTCTTCAAGTAATCCTTACTTAATACGAAGAATAGAGGAACTTAACAAGGTATGAGTTAAGGTTAATACATGTCCAAATTATTGCTTGTGGAATGTCACATTTATGGCCATTTATGTACATATTAACTTTTTGTGCAATGTCTTTGATATGTCTATGATATGGATGCAACCAATCCAGTGCATTTGTTAACATAGACTAAAATAGTCATTAAAATCTCATCTAAGCTTTATTAAGGTAATGTAATTTTCAAAAACTTTTTTTTTTTTTTTGTAAGTTTGTGGTTTTTATTATAGTCCTATGGTGACCTCACCATCACAGTCTTTCTTTACGCACTAGCTTCTATGGGGTGAAACATCCTCTCCCAATTGTGCTTCTTCTATAAGTGGCCGTGCCGATACAATTTGACATCATGGTCCACTGTCACAATTGGAAAGCTGGTCCAGAGCACTAATGAGAAGCTGTCATTGGTGTGAGTACACGTGAGGAGACCGGCAGCATTGAGATGCTAAAAAGCATGAACAAAATGTGAAAATAGTATTTTATGGGAAGAAAATGACAGTTTTTTGATACAGAGTACATTAGCAAATTTTAATCCTTAGCGGTTTCAATAAATGGACTCTCAAGTTTCCTTGGCACTGCTTTCCTAATATAATATGCTTTATTGTCAAAATAAGCTTACATTAAATAGGTTTATATCCTAATGACTGGAGCATTTAGTGTTTTTTTTTTTTTGGTTTTTTTTTTGGGGTTTTTTTTTCAGTTCAGAGGTGTCTCCTTTTTTTCCCTTTTTTCTGGATTGGACAGTTGGGTCATTCAAATTGGAACCTTCTTTCTTAGTCATAGCTTATTCCACTTCAGTGGTGAGTGTGATGTTGGCTTTTTGCCATTAGGCTTCAATTTTTCAAGTTTGTAAGGCAGCCACCCAATCTTTTTGAAGAAAATGTCGGTGTGTAGAAGGTCAAGAAGTTGGCTGTTCCCAGTGTACCTGTTGAGGATGCCCAAGTGTTTAAGGACCCCATTAACAAATGTTTGGAAGCCTATTCCAAATCCTTGTTTAGACTAACAGGTCCTA